GCTGCTGACTCGTACTAAGAGGTCTGACGTGCATTGATATGTGTCAGTTGGATTGCATATTATACATTAGTATATGTATGAGTATTACTCACCCCTGATGGTTAATGCATCCACACTGTTAGGGCTTCTCTTACTTTTCATGATATAAAGGGTGAAGAATTGAAGGCTGTGGTTAGCATCCTGGATTTTGGGTTGTGAGGTCCTGGTTTGAGACCTTGGTGGGTCACAATTGAACTTGTATTAAGTGGCACTGTATTAAAAGGTCACCCTGTATTAAGAAGTTAGCATTCAAAGTTCCAAAATTTTTACCCCTTAATGCTGTAATTTTTACCTCTATTAAACAGTCACTTCTATCATGCAATCACTGTCACCCTTTACTGAGTCCCAAAAGCCTTTTTGTATTGTCTTCCACCTGTATTGAACAGTCACTTGAGGCTGTACCACTTAAATAAAACTAAGAATTATCTTTTAAGAAAAAAATGTATGCATTTTTATCTCCCAAAATCAATTTTGGCAATATTGTCAATCAAGTTTTTGTACATTAAGTGGTCAATTAAGTCATAAGATGGCAATTTTTAATTGGTTCTTAAAATACTGTGGAACCCTATTTTGTGGAACCTGCATTTAAGTGATCAATCTGTATTAACTGGTCACCTGGCCTTTCCCTGTGGGTGACCTATTAGTGCAAGTGGAAACAACAAAGCTTGGTATGCAGACTAAACAAGCTGTTTCAATTGTTGCATTTTGTTGTCAATTAAAGTTCATTCATTTGGCACTATGCATTGAATGTTAATTATTTATGTCCCTGTAGAACTGGCCTAGTGCTGAAGTACCACAATTCAAGAGCACTGTGAGCTCTTTTTACAAGTCTATGAGTGATCTTGCATTAAGGATTCTCACTGTAATGGCCATTGGTCTTCAACTGGTATGTTACTGTTCAGCAATGGAGATGTCTATTGGAATGTGCACCAATTAGAAAGAATTACCAAGTTTGGCCCAGTTCCCATCTTACCTGGCTTACTTGTCAAGTTGGTAGTAAGAGTGACCAAGGATGTAGTCTTGTTATCTTTCATGATTTAAAATAGTTGTTAGTAAAGCTTTTCGTGCCTTATTTCTTGTAGGAACCCAACACATTTACCAAGTTCTTTAATAAGGTAGGAACCACTGAGGGTGCAGTTCAAATGAGGTTTAATGCTTATCCCAAGATATCAGATCTAAGTAAGGTCAAGCCTGGCCAGATCAGATGTGGTGAGCATACAGACTATGGTGCAATTTCAGTCCTGTTTCAAGATGACATAGGTGGCTTGGAGGTAAAGGAATGCTTGATGTTATAGCTTTGAATGTGACTTTAAAGTTTTTTTCATTATATTACACTGTCACAGTGATAAAACCATTTACCCATGGCCTTAGATAAAGCATTAGTTGCATTTTTGGCTGAAATGCCTGGAATAATATGATATCTTACTCCCTAAGGTACATTTTCAGGGCTTCTCCTTTGCCCCCCGTGGTCTTCAGCCTGGTGAATAACAAGTCACACAATCAAATACAGTATCTAGACAGTCTTGTTGTCACTTCCTTTAATCTTTGCAGATAAAAATTATTGTATTCATTTCTAGTACATGAGCATAAATTGCAATTTTTTGCAATACACATCCATATTTGTACATGTATAGTTTGTTTATTCATCTATACCCCTGGGGGTGGCAGAGGGGGGGGCAGTATGTGTGAGAGAGGGGAGCTCATTAGAGAGGGGCTCACTTGGGAAGGAGTATTAAGAACCTTGGAAACCTTTGGGTAAATGATGATGCTCATATATTTTATTTTATCCTTGTACCTATTAATTCCCTTCTGTTTAAACATATTTTAATATGATGGAAAGGTAAAGCTTGGTGTTAATAGACACTTTCCACCTTTTCTAAAAAGAAGCAAAACAAAGCAAAATCAAAATTGAGTCAGGTATGTCCTTACTCTGAGACCACTGAATGTACTGCAACATTCACAGAGGATAGGACAAAATTAATCTTTTACCAGTTGAGAATTTATGTATTTTGAAGCCAAGCCATTCAAAATTTTGAGCACTCAAATCAGGGCCAATTTCATGGCCATAAAGGAAAAAAATTTAACTGACACAATGTGAACCCCATGGTTATTAAGAAAGAGGCTTACTTGAGAGAGGTGGTTCATAAATTCTGTTTAAATTGGCCAGGCTTTACCAATGAGAATAAAAGTAATAAAAGTTCTTTTGAATATTGTCGCACTAGGTACAAAATGTCAATGGCCAGTTTATACCAGCCACGCCCATGAAAGGCACAGTAGTGGTGAATATTGCAGACTTGATGCAGAGATGGACAGCTGATAAGCTTAAGTCAACGGTACTAAATGTTCCTTTATTGGCTAGTTTGTTGACGAGTCTTGTTGATATTAAATATCGTTTATTTGAGGGTCAACAAGAACAAACTTAGCTTGTGCAGCGAGCAATGCTGTTTTTCGGCTATACAAA